CCCAGGAAGCTGGGTGAATCCCGCTCTGAGATTGAGGGCATTCCTCTGTGCCTGTGTTCAGTGGCAGTGGCAACATCAAATCCTCCAGCAGTCCCAGGACAGGCAGGCCATACATGAGTCCTGACAGAAGCAGTCCTCAGGCTGCCACAGACAGACACTCAGTCCCCTTGTACCGTGCACGATAGCTGTGTCATTCGTTCATTCCTTCACTCTATGGATACTTACAGAGCATGGGCTTCATGCCGGCATCCTTGTAAGAGAGACATCAATGAGTGAAGGAAGTTCTAAACACCCTGACCTAAACAGAGCTTGCATGCTGAGTGAGGGGAACCGAGAGTGAACAGAAAATAAACAAGACCACAAGTGCCACAGCAGTGAGAATGCGGCTGCCATGAGGGGGAGGAGTGAGCAGAGAGAAGGATCTGGAGGTAGGGACACGGGGACAGATTTTCAGCACGGCAGTTGGGCTTAGCTTCAGTGAGGGGGCCACATTCGAGCCTGACTTGAAAGAGCCAGAAGAATGAAGGAGCCTGAAAATACTTTTAGGGACTTGTGGCCCCCAGACCCTAAGGTGGGTGTGCACCTGCCATGCCCAGGCAGAGGTAGAGGCTGGAGCCCAGGGAGCATGGGGGAAAATGGAGATGAGGGCAGAGATGGACGAGGGCCTTCTGGTCCTTACAGACTGTCACAAGGACTTTGGCTTTTCCACTGAGAGAGTGGCACATTGCTGGAGTGTTCTGAGCAGAGGAACAGCCTCGTCTGCCCTGTGTCTGAAGGCTCATGCTGGCTGCTGTGCTGATAGATGTGGTGCAAGGAATGGAGGCAGGGAGGCTGGTCAGAAGGCCAAGCAAGAGCAGATGGCCCAGGAGAGGGTGACTGGAAGAGGTGGATATGGATTCTGGGTGTGTCTCTAAAGTGAACTGAAGGGTATGACAGTAGAAGCCAGCAAGCCCTCACCTTGGTAACTCAAGAAACGAGAGAAGCAGGAGTATCAGTCAGCGTTCAGTCACCATTGTGAAATCCCGGAGGCGGCTAACTTTGTAAAGAGAGAAAGTTCCTTTGGCTCAAAGCTTGGTAAGTCCAAAGGCACGGTGGCCACATCAGCTCAGTCCTTGCAGGGCTCCCTCACACCATGGCTGACAGCAATGGCAGGACCACGTGTGTGGCGTGATCGCATCTCAAAATGGAGCACAGGCAGTGGGTGGGGCCGGGCCTGCTCCTTTTCTAACTGTTCTCTCTCAGTAACTCAAGAGCTGGATGCCAGGGGCTCACGCCTGTAATCCTAGCTACTCAGGATGCAGAGGTCAGGAGGATTGTGGTTCAAAGCCAGCCCAGAGAAATAGTTCCTTGAAACCCTGTCTCAAAAAAATCCATCAGAAAAAAAAAAAGGCTGGTGGAGTAGCTCAAGTGGTAAAGTGCCTGCCTAGCAAGTGTAAGGCCCTGAGTTCAAACCCCAGTACCACCAAACAAAGCTTTGTGCATGTGTGTTCACAGCAACATTAGTCTCCATAGTAAGGAAGTGTAAGCAGCCCAAATGCCCATCAGCTGAGGGGCAGAAAAGCAACATATGGTGTATCCATGCAATACAACCTAGTTTAGCCATTCAAAAGCACTCTTGCATGCTTCAACACAGTATAGCCCTGATGAATTTGGGGAGCACATGGAAGTGAAAGAAGCTGAAATGCCCAGAACAGGGAAACCCACAGGCAGAAAGCAGTTTAGTGGTTGTTGGGGCTTTGCCAGGGGAATGCAGGACTGCTAGTGTGTGTGGATTGCTCCTGAGTGAGGGAATGCTCCAGAGTTAGATTGTGATGGTGGTTGAACCATATGGTGAGCGTCCCAGGAATGTCCCTTGCGTGTGCGATTTCACTTGGTGAGTTTTACAGGCCTGGTGGTTCATGCCTACAATCCCAGCTACTCAGGAGGTGGAGGTAGGAGGATCAAGGTCCAAGGTCATCTGCAACAAAGTTGGCATAAGAAAAAAAAATAACTTAAAGCAAAAGGTTCAAGCGGTAGAAGACCTTAGGAAGTACAAGATCCTGTTCAGTCCCTAGTGCTACCAAAAAAAAAAAAAAAAAACGGGGTGAGTTTTATGTCATATGAATTTCTCCTAACTTAAAGATCGAAAGGATTTGCTGATGGATTTGATGTGAGGAGTGAGGAAGAAGACATCAAGAACAGAAGCTAGAGGATGGAGTCACCACTTCATCCATGGAAAGGACTGTGCGGATGGGCTTGCGGGGGAAGGTCAGAGCTCAGTTCTGGGGGCTCAGCTTGAAATATAAATAGATCTGCAAGTTCAGAGACCAGGGACAGACGTAAATTTTGGAGTCGGCATCGGCACGCAGGCAGCCTTTGGCCCCCGAGTGGACAAGGTCACCGTGTTTTCGAGTGTAGACAGAGTGAGGAAGGAGCTTGTGGACCGAGTGTCCGATGTGGAGCGATGAGGAGGAACTGAGGGGAGGAAGAAGCAGCTACTACAGCAGGAGAAGGAATGACAGCGCACGCGTAATCCGGAAAGCCACTTGTCAGACATCTCTGAGTCCAACAGGAGAACCAGCTCAGCCTTGGGACCTGACAGCGTGGAGGCTGCCCGTGGCCTTGACTGTGGGAGCGAAAGCCTGGCTCAGGAATGCTGGAAGAAGAGGGACAGGCCCAGCCAGTTAGAGCAGTGTGGGCCGGAGAGGTTTTGCAAAGGGGAAATGTGACATGGTGGTGGCTGAAGGAAGAAGGACGGACGGGAGCAGAATGGCTTTTAGCAGCACACGTGTGTACTGGCGGGGCTGAGGGAGTACAAAGGTGACATGAGTGAGGGAGAGAATTGCATGATGACCTTGAGTTGGCCAGAAGGACTGCAACCCAGTGCACCGCAAATGGCTCAGTCATCTAGCATAAGAGGGGAAGTCATGGAACAGGGGCACAGACACTGGGAGTCGCAGTGCTGTTGGCAAGTGTGTGGAGGTTAGGGACGCTCTGCTCTGGCTGCCTCAGTTTCCTCGGGACAGTGGGCAACAAGGCCACAGCTAGTGGGAGAAAGAGAAACAAAGATGGGAGGCCTGGGGCGAGATGAGAAGACATGAAATCCCCCAGAAAGGCAGGAGAATGACAGGATGGAATAGATTGTCAAGCAGCAGGAAGGCAGGCTCAAGGTACAATTTTTTGTTTTTGTTTTTTGGTATTTTGAAACACGGTCTCACTATGTAGCCCAGGCTGGCCTGGAACTCTTGATACTGTGCTGCAGGCTCCTTAGTGCTGGGATTACGGAGATACACCACCATGCCCAGCTGTGGTCCAGAATTTTAAGTGGCACCTGGCTGCATGGTGATGATTTTCCTCCAGCCACACTGAACTGCACAGATGCAAGAAGAAATAGGCAGTCTTGGATTTAACCAGCATTGCAATGACTCCAGTGATAGAGCACCTGTCTAACAAGCTCAAAGCCCTGAGTTCAAACCCCAATACCACCAAGAAAAAAAGAGAGAAAGAGAGGACCAGGAAGTTGAAGGATGGGTAAAGGAGTTAGGGTAGATGAGAGGTTCTGGGGGGCCAGGGACACCAAAAGGTCATGGGTGTCAGATTGTAAGAAGGAATAAGCCAGAAAGAGTTGGGGCCATAGTCAAAGGGTGGCATGCATGAAACTGTGACATGGAAAAATCAAAATGACCCGTGATGATGACAAGGTCCAGCACACGAGTGTGAGAGTGAGCGGGAAGACCATAAAAGGAGAGGAGCTCAAGAACTAAGAGGCCTGAATGTTGCAGGACTGATGACTTGCCTAATGAATCACAAAAGATGATTTCAGGGTCAGAGAATGGCAGAGGTACAGAAGCCAGAAACTTTGAGAAATTCAGACAAGTGACCCAGGGGTCAGCCACAGCTGCACCTCCAGGTCCATCGGCTGTAGGAGAATATGCCAGGAGGCCGGTGTTCTTGGGGGAGAGAGAGCTTCTGCTGTAGCAAGAAGGGAAAGGAACCCTTGGAGAAAAGGTTCAAGATGTGAGGACTTTTCAGTGACAGATGTGAGCCCCAAGGGTCCAGTGGAAGTATCTCAGGAGAGGTGGAGATGGCACAGGAAAGAGAGGCAAACACAGGATGACACATGCCCTGTCATAAACTGGGACAAGGAGCATAACGAGTTTAGTCCTGGAGTCCAGGCCAATGGTGTTGGTGAGGATGCAAATATCTCAAGGTTCTCTCTTGGTGACAGGAAGGAGTCCAGGAGGCCTGGGGGAAGGGAAGGTCTTACTCTGAGAACCAGGCCATTCCCAGAGGACAGGCCCTGTGGGGCAGGTGGAATAAGCCCCAATGCGAGGGACCTTGGTCCCCACCAGGGCTCTCGTTCTGATCATGCACAGCTGTCTCTTGGCCTCTCGGAGAGGAGTAGGAGGCCTGGAGCAGTGGATCTCAAAAACCAGAAACTGCAGCCCATCCATGTCCAGCCCTTGACCCAGTTCCATGGTGAGCCAGCCTCAGAGCAGAGCCCGGGTCTGTGTGTCCTGCACAGTGACACAGTCATCACTCGCTCTTTGGTTGCTCATGGTGTCCCTGCTTCTAACACATGTCCTTTAAACGCCTGTGACATGCAGGAGATCTTATTGATCAAGTGGCCCATGTGCCAGACACTGCAATATGACCTTTGTATAGATTCTTCCTTTGGTCCTCACGATGACCAGGGAGATGGACACAGTTATTATCTCAGTTCTTACCTGAGAATCTGAGGCTTAGACAGGGGCAGGGACTTGCCCAAGGTCACACAGCAAGGGGAATTGAGGCCCTCCTAACCACAACAGGGTAGTCACCAATTGGCCAAGCTGGGAAGGACATAGACTTCCTAGAACCCTTGTAAAATAGCTCTGGAGCCAGACTGGGAGACACTCACCCTCTCCTGCCTCCTGTTGGAGCCCACCCAGCCGTCCTCTTGGTTTTGTTCTCTTTCCAAAGTGCACCAAAGCTTTTCACCCCTCCTGATTTCAGAGATCTTTGTTTTGTTTCCACCATAGATGTGAAAAGCTGGCTTGTGATGTTTGGATTTCAGCTTAGCAACATCATCCCTGGCTTTCCACGAGCCAAAATGTATTTCGTGCCTCCTCCCTATGAGTTGTCAGAAAGCCAAGCAAGTGAGAATGGACAGGTAAGTGAAGGTTCCCAGAGGTTGTCCTGTGAACAGGACCACACGGAGCCAAGGGCGCCCATAGAGGAAAAGGTGTGGAGGACATTGGGACTTCCTGGAGAAGCAAATTCCAGCACTGTGCTCTGTCACTGTCCACATCCCTTACCACCCTGGACGATTACCTTAATTGTTATGCCATTATCTGTTCAGTATATACCCTGGAGTCACTTCTTGATTAACACCGGCATGGAGAAATCTAGCTGCATCCCACCATCTGCAGTGCCTATAAGATCATAACCCTTTCTGCTTTTATGGGACGTCGTAAACTGTGGTTTGCAGTTTCTGGCCCATTAAAGCTCATTTTTATGCCCTGCATAAAACTCCAGTGCTTTACGGCCCAAATATATGCAGATTGAGTTATCAGAGCATAATCTGTGCTTGGATCTTCCCATGATGACCCAGGGTGGTCACTTTCAATTTGGGTGCAGCTGAGACCTAGGCCACACCAATCAAGTGGGAGGAGTAGACATCCATGTTCTGCTAACCCCGGCTGCAGGGCCAGCACTCAGCTGGAAGGTCCCAGCTGCTCTGAATAACTTTCCAGATTGTGGACCAAGAGAGAGTCAAGGGGGAGCCTCTGGGTGATTGTGAACGGCACTGTCTCAGTCCTGCCCCTCGGGGACCACGCCATGGATGAATAACCATCATTTCTCTCATTTTTCTAAGTGCTGTTACTTCCCAAACAGGCTCTTCCATTACCCCCAGCCCATCCCCCAACCACCAATTGAGACGAGTGGTCATTTGTGAGCAGAGAACTCAAGGCCAGGAATAAAGTGCTTTCATTCCTCTGCAGACCCAGGGCTAGGATCCAAAGCAACTGACTAAAGCCTGGGGTTTCCCTCTGCCCCTTGAACCTGGGTCTCCCAGCCTGGCTTGTCAAGTAGGAGCACATGCACAAATCTCCCAGAGTGCCTTGCTAACACGTGGCTTCTGGCCCCATATCCCCCTTTGACATCAGGGCACGCCCCTGTGAACCCTCTTCCACTGGTCTTTCTGTGAGTAGCAAGGTTGTAACCCAAGGAAGGTAATGAACACCCAGGACATTGGCCACAGAGAAAAGCAGGGTACCAGGCTGGGCGTTATAGCTGTTCAAAATGGCACCTGCCCCTCAGGTCAGGACACCTGGGGACCAGAGTGTGCAGGGCAGCTGCCACACCAGGACAAAATGGCTCTGTTCCAACAATGCGAGCCGCGGTAAGTGCGTATCCGGGTGCAGACTAGGGCCAGGAAGGGGACTTCCATCACGGTCTTTTAGTGACCCAGTTTTGAACCAACAGGCCACCCCATCAGAGCCTGGGAACCACCCTGCCCCAGCTCAGGAAGGTAGGACAGTGTTAGCTTGTGTTAGTACACACACAGCACTAATTGGCACAGGGGAGTTCCAAGCGTTTTCCTTTCTGGATCTTTCCTAATGAGCTGCCCAGATGACCTTGTCAGCTTTGCCTGTTTTCTTGTGTCCACAGCTCATTACAGGCATACAGCAGACGACGGAGAGACACAATCAGGCCTTCATGGCTCTGGAAGGGCAGGTCATCACCAAAAAGCTTCATGCCAGCATCCGAGAGAAAGCAGGCCACTGGTTTGCCACCACCACACCCATCATCGGCAAAGGTATCATGTTTGCCATCAAAGAAGGGCGGGTGACCACCGGCGTGTCCAGCATCGCCAGCGAGGACAGCCGCAAGGTGGCCTCCGTGCTGAACAACGCGTACTACCTGGACAAGATGCATTACAGCATCGAGGGCAAAGACACGCACTACTTCGTGAAGATCGGCGCGGCCGACAGCGACCTGGTCACGCTGGGCACCACCATCGGCCGCAAGGTGCTGGAGAGCGGGGTGAACGTGACCGTGTCGCAGCCCACGTTGCTGGTGAACGGCAGGACTCGAAGGTTCACCAACATCGAGTTCCAGTACTCCACCCTGCTGCTCAGCATCCGCTATGGCCTCACCCCCGACACGCTGGACGAAGAGAAGGCGCGCGTCCTGGACCAGGCGAGACAGAGGGCCCTGGGCACCGCCTGGGCCAAGGAGCAGCACAAAGCCAGGGACGGCAGAGAGGGTAGCCGCCTGTGGACTGAGGGCGAGAGGCAGCAGCTGCTGAGCACGGGCCGGGTTCAAGGGTACGAGGGTTACTACGTGCTGCCCGTGGAGCAGTACCCAGAGCTGGCAGACAGTAGCAGCAACATCCAGTTCTTAAGACAGAACGAGATGGGCAAGAGGTAACAAAATGGTCTGCTGCCATCCCTTGTCTGGATGGCTCAGCAGGAGTAACTGGCCCCTCTCCTAAGGAGACAAAGGCCTACCAGGCACTGAGGCTGGGCTGTGAGGCTGGACTGCTTCAGGATGCCGAGTGGCAGGAAAGCTCACATTTTCTGAGTTCCAATGCTACCGTGCAAGCGTCAAGTCCTTCATCCTGAAGTAGCCTAGAGCCCGCCTGGCCGCAGATTTTGAGGAAAAAAAAAAAAGAAACAGATAAATGAATGAACAAACACACAACCACGTTCCAAGTTCCCCTTAACGTACGACCCACTTGTTCTGGGTCTGAGGCAGAAACGAGGCAAAAAGAGACGCAAAATACCCAAAAGGACAGAAGAAGAAAACACAAAAGTCAAATAAACAACAACAACAAAAACAAACAAACAAAAAAAAAAAACCACACCGACCGAAAAACAAAGAAATGACCAAAAGGCTTCATATCCTAATACCTCACTCATTCACACGTGAGGGCCCATGTCACCAGACCAGCTGAGGACAACGATTCAGACTGCTCGTTGGAGAAATACCTCCGACGTTTTTCCTTTAAGCAAACACAGGTGCATTTAAAACACAACTTTGGGGTGATGTGTGTGTAGCGCCTGGGGAGGGGGGGGCATCAAAGTGGAGGAGTGAGCACTGGAAAGAACTTTTTAAAGAAAAAGAAAAACACAAGAAAAAAAAAATTCATATCAAAAGTCAAAACAGAATAATACCGTCCAGCACTTACCTCTCGGGTCTCCAGTTAGTCTGACCTGAGCTAATTTATTTGAGCGCAGAGTGTAAAATTTTAATTCAAAACGGTGGCTATACTCACTACAGATAAGTCTCATACTTTTTGTCTTTGGAGATTCCATTGTGGACAGTAATTCGCAGTTACAGGGTGTAGTCTGTTTAGATTCCGTAGTTCGTGGGTCCAGTTGCGGTAGAGGTGCAGCATTGTTACTCTAACAGGTGTACCTCTAACGGGTACCACTTCCGATCGCCCTGTACATACATTCGCCACAAGGCACAATCACTGTTTCAGACTTAAAATTACTAGTGTGTTTGTTTGGTCCAGAAACTGAGACAATCACCTGACAGTCACCACGAGGAGAGAAAAATAAATAAATAAAAACAAAAAAAATTTTAAAAACTTGAAAATAAAAAAAAAAAAAAGTCTAATAAGAACTTTGGTACAGGAACTTTTTTGTAATATACATGTATGAATTGTTCATCGAGTTTTTATATTAATTTTAATTTGCTGCTAAGCAGAGACTAGGAGCGGGCAAAGATAATTTATGGCAAAGTGTTTAAATTGTTTATACATAAATAAAGTCTCTAAAACTCCTGTGGACATTGGTCTTCTGTGCAAATGCTTTAAGATGGAGAGGGGCTGATGGAGAGAGATGCTGGGCCACGCCCCGCATCCCGTATCCCAGGTGCTCGGGACTACAAGGGTTTGCACTTTGGGGCTTTTTCAGATTTCAGAGCATCTGCAAATACGTCACGAGAGATCTCAGGAATGGGATCCAGTTCTAAGCATGCAGTTCATTACTGTTTCATCTCCACCTTAGGCACAGAGGCTGAAGGTGATTTTATAGAGTAGTTTTAATAATTGTGTGCGTGAAACTAAGTTTCCTGGTGTGGAATTTTCCACTTGTGGCCTCATAGGCATGATGACACTGTGCTCAAAAGCTTCGGATTTGGGGTTTTCGGATTGGGGGTGCTCACCAAAAAAACTCTCAGGAGTTTTTTATTAAAGCCTTCTGCTCCCTGGATGGCTAGCCTCCTGGTGGGCAGGAGGGTGCGGGTTTGGTGTGCAGGAATGGTGAGGACCCTCCAGCCCCAGCAGGAGTCTTAGAGGACACACTCCCCGCCCCAGGAGGCCTGCACGTGTCTGTGTGGCTCTGCGTACCCTCGTGTTTTCTCCCAGGCTGGATCACCTTACCCCAAAACGTCCACATTTGGGGCAACTCAGGTGTGATGGGTCTTTTCCACTTAGGTGAAGTTCTGTTTCCCACCACGCCTGGGGCTGGAATGATATCATCACCAGCAGCTAGACAAAGTGTGCTCTCGCGGTTCCAGCCACAGGGCTAAGCTCAGTGTTTTCACTGAGCCTTCACCTCTCCTTCAGTCGACAGCACTTTATTGGGAGCTGGCCACCTGGCAGGTGTGGGGCTAAGTTTTGGGGACATGGAAGGTGGGCAGATACAAACAGGGGTCTCACCTCGTGAAAACTGGGCAGAGGAAACAACAGGCAAAGAGCTACGTCAGGAAGTGAAGCCGGTGTTGGTGGCACATGCAATAATCAACAAGGCAAAGAGGATAAGGCAGGAGGATCGCGAGTTCAAAGCCAGCCTGGGCTGCACATTTAGCCCGGCACCAGTGACTCACGCCTGGAATCCTACTCAGAAGGCAGAGATCAGGAGGATCACAGTTCAAAGTCAGCCCAGGGAAAATAGTTGGTGAGATCCTATTTCAAAAAAACCCATCACTGAAAAGGTCTGGTGGCATGGTGCAAGGTGTCGGCCCTGAGTTTAAACCCCAGTCTCAGGGGGAAAAAAAAAAAAAAGGAGTGAAAATGGTAGGTGTGTAGATTTATAAAGTGACAGACACATCTCTGGACACGTGACCAGACTGAGGATGTCCCAGAAGCTGCTGAGGTCTGAGACTTCAGGAGCCAGGCAGTATAGAGAGCAGAGTGCCTTCTGGAGGCAGAGGCAGGGATATGCAAAGGGCCTGTGGCAGAGGGGCAGGGTTAGTTCAAGAACAGGTAAAAGGAGTGGTGAGGCAGGAGCACAGCTAGTTGGGTTTAGAAGACACATTAGAGACCTGATTTTTTTTCCACTATTACAAGCAACAGAGGGACTGGTGGAGTGGCTCAAGAGGTAGAGCACTGCCTAGCAAGTGTGAGGCCCTGAGTTCAAATCCCAGTGCCATCAAGAGAAAATAAGACCATTTGCTAAACATGGAAGGAAACTGTGGCCGGGCCGAGCCTCACCCAGTGGGAAGTGGGAAAATCAGACATGTACCCCATTGTAGAACTCCTCCAGGATGCCTGGGAAGCTGGCTGTCACCCTGAGACCCTGCCAAGGTCCAAATCCCTCTGCCTTCCAGGTCACCCAGCTGGGGTGAGGGAGGGAGGGAGAGCAGAGCTGGCCTGATTTACCCCAGGCCTCCTGTGCCCTGCTGTCATGGCTAGAATGCGAACAGGACAAGGAGAGAGGGGACAAGGGGCCCTCACTTCCCAGGTACACTGAGCCAGGCCGCCTCCCTCAGAAGGACACGAGTCAGCTACAGATTTGCCTCCTTGGACCTGGCTGGAGTCAGGAGCGCCTGACAAGCGCTCAGAAGAGTCTGGGCTCCAATCCTCAAGCGATAAGCCATGGAATGGTGTCTTCCCCGGGAGATGAACCCGGGGGACAGGGACACGGGCCCCATGCAGCCTCTTGAGTGGCAGGTGTGCCAAAGGGAGCCACGCGTGCACCAGAATTTCACAGGAAGCTGAAACTCTGTTTTGGGGCCACCGTCTTCGAATCGTCCCTGAGCTACACCTGGCCTCTCACTACACGAGCACATCTGACATTCCTCTCCTGTCTCAGCTCACTGGCCAATGGAGAATTCTGGAAAGGCAGTGCAGCCTGGGGTGAAGTTGGTCTGGGAAAACACTGCGTGTCGCTCAGGGGTTAGAGCTACGCTGAAACACTGTGGAAACCAGGGGAAAAGCTGTGTATTAATTAGGGCGAACTTCCTTAGCTGCTTTCAGAGATAAAGCCCGTGTAGCTAACTCACTCCCACCATGGTCCATGGCGGCCGGCGGTGAGGACGACTGAGTAAACGACACACAGTAAGTAACTCACGATAGGTTTATTTTTTAAAACTTTGTTCCAAGCACAGGTTTTCTAAGAGTGGAAACTGAGGCATTTCCGTTTGGCACAGGGGAGAGGTTTTTATGCAGGGGCTCAGCAGGACAGAGGGCCCGTCCCTGTCCTCAACAGCCTCTGCTGCCCCAGGCCAGGGAACAGAAACAAGTACATTGAGCCTCTGGCCTCTGTTCCTGGCCTCCTGGGCCTTTCAGAAGGAGGGACATTTGGAGAGTCGTGGGTCTCAGCAACATGAGTCCTGGCTGGCTGAGAGGGGGCATTCACGCAGGCATCTGTCCACATTCCCGGTCACCAAGCGTTTTGTCACTTGGCACCCTCAGAAGCCAGGAGTGCAAAGGTGAATCAAACATGGCCAGCGACCTCACGGCCTAAGGTGAACTCAGAGCCCATCAACAGTTCACGGTGGGGACAGGGCTGGCAGGATGTGATTGACAAAGGGAAAAACCCAGAGGAGTGCTGTGCGCAGCATCTGAGCGGGACGCTGGCCGGGAAGAGAACCAGGCAGGGACTGGGGGCGGCTGGGGACTGAAGGTGGAGCAGGTGCTGCAGGAGCAGAATGAACACGCAAACAGACGGGAGAGCTAAAAAAGCCGCGGGGGCTGCCTGGGGGCTGGGATGGGAATCACCTGGGGGAGGCTCAGCGGAGAGCCTCCCCCAGCACAAGAGAGAGAGAGAAAGACTGAGAGAGGAAGAAAGGGAGGGGAGAGGCAGAGAAAGGGGGGAGAGAGAGAAAGAGAAGGGGAAGAGATCGAAAGCGAAGAGAAAGAGGGAAGGGGGGAGGAAGAGAATGGGTCTCACCTGGGAGCTTTCTCAGCAGAGCTTCCAGGGGCACAGAATCAGCCTCTGGTGACAGGTGTCACAGCTCCCAGCTGATCTCCCCAGCAGCCAGAATGGAGGCAGTGCTGGATTAGGGCTCAGAGGAGAATGAGGCAGGAGTGAAATGAGGCTGAGAAGCTGGGCCTCTCCTACAAGGTCATGAGGTAAATGCCTGGGGTTCTTGTAGATGGGAGGGATGTAGTTAGAGAATTTGGGGTAACAACGGGGAGGGGGGTGGAAAGAGCTCCAGCCTTGAAGGTTCTGGCAGGGCCACACAGGGCCCGATCTCCAGCTGGGCTGTGAGGACAGACAGAGCTGCACAGGACGGGACTTGGAAAGTGAGAATTCCAGAATGTCCCCCAGAGCTGGGGACAGTGCATGGGTGGAATGCCAAGAGCAGGACTCCCCCAGGCCCAGGTCCTGCAGCAACTGACCCCGCCTCCGGTGAAAGGACCCACCACCTGGGGGGCGTTTAAGAAGGCGATCCCACCTCACCTTCCCTCCTTCCTGAGGCATCTGGACAGCCTCGCTCCGTCGACCAACACCCCAGCTGGCACTCATCTTGGGGCACCCTCCAAAAGAAGTCCCCACAGACTCCACCTGCTCCCCAAACCCCACCCTTCCAAGCCTTGGCCTTCTCCCTGAGTGCAGGGTTTGCCTGTGGC